CCAAATTCAAGTGAATGACAATGTTCTGTTACATGATTGAATTCAGGTGATTGTTCCTGCATTGGATGCTGCCAAACAGCTATCCTAGGAGGTCTGAAGAACTTCAATTCGTACGTTGGCGTGTTAAATAGTCACAGAAACATTTGGTCTCTCAACCCGTGTGGCTATGCCTTTCTCGATGACCCGAGCAGATATGAATTCGGCCTCACGGACCTCAACGACACGAGTTTCCAGACTAGGACCATAGAGCACGTGTCGGGATTTCTCGAGTGGGCAATTGGTGCAAGAAATTGTAGTGAAGCCGTGAGTTCAAACGGTTATGCGTGCCTCGAAAATACTTCTTGTGTTGATTTTGAGCCCAGTCTCCGAGGATATAGATGCAGTTGTTTAAAAGGGTATCAAGGAAACCCATATCTTAGTCCTGGCTGCACAGGTAATTTAAGTCCTCCGGGATTAAACCGAACATTCGACTTTGGTTTTGGACGCATTACTAAACGAAAATTGGTGTTTGGTTTATTATGCAGCTACGAGTGTGCAAACAATCTTTGTGTTGATAACGGGATTTGCACGAATACTCCAGGTTGTTTTACCTGTACTTGCAACAGGGGATTTTTCAGTGACGGCACAGGAGAAGGTCGTGGTTGCATTGCCGAAAACTCCCGGTTTCCGGTTGCTAGGCTGGCATTAGGTTACCCTTAAAATTAACTCAAAAACATCAGATTTAGTTTCATTGATGCACTTTTTGACTGCTGTTTGAATTCTATATGCACGAGTTTTGGTTTCTTGGCCTTCATAATAGCTATTGATAAATGGATAGCACTTGACGTAAGAGGGAATAAGGTATTGATAAACGATGATATCAAAGATGATACCTTTGATTAACTAACATTGGAACATGGTATTTTGCTTTCTGTTTTTAAATGTTGTGAATTCATTAGAACGACCTTTTTTTTTTTTTGTCAATATTGTTTTTTGTGGAGCATTTTTCTTATATTAAAGTGGTTAATGTATCCCATGGAGGTTTGAGAACAAGCAATATGATAATTGTTGCTTGTAAAGCATTTTACTGGTGTTTGTGTTCTACTTACACGGGGCCAGGATAATTTGATGTACGAATAAATCTTGGAATTCATCTCTAACATATCTATAATCAGTACAATATTGAGATAGAATGGATAAATCAACTGTTTCATTCTCGGCTACAATAAACCCTAAACCCTAAACATGTTAACTTGGTTCTCGCGAGTCTGTCGCATTGGTAAAGAAAATGCGAATTTATGACGATTACTTAACTTTAATCTTTTCAAAAATCATATCTAAAAATTTTTATAATTTGGATCTTGTAGGGCCAACAACAAAAATAACCTAATCAATTATTAAAAAAAAAAAAAATATTGGGCCTAGGAATGCAAGTTAGAAATGTAATTTCAGTTAATAGATTCAAATTAATTAACCTAAAATTGAGTGTACCTACAACCTGCTTATTTAATACTAAGAAAATAAGAGAGTAATTTTAGATTGTACACGTGGCCTCATGAATGAGTTCCTTTCCCATTTCACTTTTCTTATTTCTTTTGAGAGGCTACATTCTTACAAAA